GGGAGGGGAGGGGAGGGAAGAAAAGGAAAGGAAAGGAAAGGAAGAAAGAAGCCACATACAAAAGCACAAACAGCTACTATGATTCTACTTATATGAGGTACCCAAAGTAGTCAAATTCATAGAGGCAGGAAGTAACACTGGTGGTTGCCACGGGCTGGAGGAAGAGGGAATTGGGGAATTGTTGTTTAATGGGTATGCAGTTTCAGTTTGGGAAGATGAAAAATTTCTGGAAAGGGATGGTGGTGATGGTTGCACACCTATGTGAATGTACTTAATACCTTGGACTGCACACCTAAAAATGGTTAAAATGGTAAATTTTGTTATGTATACTTTACCACAATTTAAAAAACACACTAAGCTACCACTTAACACCTCCTAGGATGGCTGTAAAAAAATTAAAAGAAAAACAAAAAGAAACCCCAGAAAATAACAAGTGTTGGTTAGGATGTGCAGAAATTGGAACCATTACACATTGTGGTGGGAATGTAAAACGATGCAAACCTGTGGAAAAGTTTGGCAGTTTCTCAAAAAGCTAAACATAGAATCACCATATGATCCAGCAAGTCCACTCCTAGATATATACACAAAAGAAATGAAAACATATTCAAACAAATACTTGTACATGAATATTCATATCAGCACTGTTCAAACAGCCAAAAGATGAAAACTACCCAAATGTCCATCAATGGATGAGTGAAAAAAATATAACATATCCATAAAATTATTCAGCCCTAAAAAGGAAAGAAGTACTGATATAACCTCGTATGAACTTTGGAAGCATTATGCTAAGTGAAAGAAGCCAGACACAACAGATCACATACTGAATGAACACACTTATATGAAAAACCTAGAACAGGCAAATTCATAGAGATTAGAAACTCCGGAAAGGGGGAGGGGAGCGGAAGAGTCATTGCTTAATGGTTGAAGAGTCTGTCTGGGGTAATGAAAAAGTTTTGGAAACACAGTGGTGATGGCTGCAAAACATTGTGAATGTAATTAACAACACTGAACTGTACACTTAAAAATGGTTAAAATGGCAAATTTTATTTACCACAATAAAAAGAATTCCAAAATAAGGCAAGTAGACCAGAGCATAAGCACCACATTCAAAGCCTAAACATGAAACACCACATGACTTATTGATCACGTGAGTGATCAGGCTGCTAGAGTCCAGTGTTCAGTTTGGAGCATAATGAATAGTACATACTGTGGAGAGCTATGAATAAAAATGGATGAACTAGATGGAACTGGCCACAGAAAGCTATTTTAGGCTCCCAGTGTAACAGGGAAGAGGCAAATCAGACTAGATGTAGGATCTGTTTTTTACTTTAACCTTTGCTTCCTGTTGCTTTTGTTCACTAAAAGGATACTGTCTACACATAATGGCTTGCCTGGGGGAACCCTGCCTCTCTGCCTGAATGTTAAACCAAAGTGCCTTTGCTCAAGGAAACATCTGGGATATTTGCAAAATTTATGGCTTTTTTACTTTACTTCCTCATCTCCTCCCCCTCTCTGTGCTATAAAAGAAACTGGCATCCAAACCCGGTTAAGATGGTTATTTTGAGACTTTAGTTGGCTATCTTCTTGGTCTGCCGACTCGTATTCCTTTCCTCAACACCTCGTCTCTGATTTATTGGCCTGTCGCCAGGGAGCAGAGAGAGCTTGGATACTGTAACACTTGCAAGCTGAAGAATTAAATGAATGGCGATGCACGGCAAGTAAGTTAGAGAAAGTAATTTAAAGTGAAAAAGATATTAACACAAGAATCCAGTAGTTTCCTTACTTCTGCTGTTGCTATACTACACTATTGCTCATCTGTGACTATGTAACTTTTCACATGACTTAAGACTCTAGCAGGCAATTCTTTTGTTCTAGGTTTTTTCTTTTCATTTTTAATCCAGCAAATATCAACTGAATACAGCCTGCGCTGTGACAATGAACAAAATCGTGCCACTGACCTTAATCAACATTTTGGGACCCATAAAACCCAAACCCTAAAAAATTTAGACAAACACTAACCGGGCTTTCTGTTTTATTCTTTAAAAAAATGGATTAGGGGCTTCCCTGGTGGCGCAGTGATTAAGAATCTGCCTGTCAATGCAGGGGACACGGGTTCGATCCCTTTCGACCCCTGGTCCGCAAGATCCCACATGCCGCGGAGCAACGAAGGCCACGCACCACAACTACTGAGTCTGCGCTCTAGAGCCGGCGTGCCGCAACTATTGAAGCCCGTGCGCCTAGAGCCCGGGCTCCGCAACGAGAAGCCACTGCAATGAGAAGCCCGTGCACCCCAACACAGAGCAGCCCCCGCTCGCGGTAACTAGAGAAAGCCCACACGAAGACTCAACGCAGCCAACAAATAATTAATTTAAAAAAATGGATTAGTGGTGATTGGCTTTTTTTTTTTTTTTTGGGGGGGGGGGGTACGTGGGCCTCTCACTGTTGTGGCCTCTCCCGTTGCGGAGCACAGGCTCCGGACGCGCAGGCTCAGTGGCCATGGCTCACGGGCCCAGCCGCTCCGCG